TCAAATCGAGTCGAGTTTAAAATTTATATAACTTGAATCAAATCAAATTGAAAGATTTTATAAAATAAATTTGACTCAACTTGACTCGAAAAAAGAGAGTCGAGTCAAGTCGATCTTTAAACTTGACTTGACTCGACTCATTCAGAACTCTAAGGGTAATACATGTGATATGATATACGTTATACCACAAACTGATTTAACCAAGTGCTATGCATATACATGTAAATATAAAATTAGTTTAGCCTGAGATATGACCCTAATATACTTGTAATCGAATAAAAATCAATCTAATATTTTATTATAATATAGTTGTTACAAACTGTTATAAATCACTAACCAGTAAATCTGTATAAATTTGAATGTTGATATATCTAGTATAAGTTGTTAAAGAATTGCTAAAATTCATTAAAAACATTATAAATAACTAAAATCATTAAATATGTCAGGAACTTATATTAATAGACCAAGACCTAATAAATGCATTGATATTATTTTAGATAAGGTTTATAATCAATCTGTGCCTAAACCCATCAATCTTCATCCTGGATACGATATTGAATATATTAGAAACAATTATAGTTTTCCTTATTCTGATCAATTTGAAAAAATAGTTGAGGTCGAAAAAAGATATGATAATTTATCTATTATTAGTTCATATGAAACTCCTCAGCAATAGGCTATTCGTGTAAAAGACGCTTTGCAAGCATTGATTACTAAAGGTCATAAAAACTATTATCATGTATTCTGCCTTTTTAGATCATCTGGGCAAGGAGTAACCAAGACATGCTATAATAACTATGAAGGAAGAGAAGTTGCCATTAGTTATTACAGACTTAATATTCACAGTTGCAAAATGGCTATTTACTTTAATTGCTGGAAATTGGTAAAGATTACTGATGTAAAACCAAAAAAAAACATATTTTGATAGATAGTGCAGATATGGCTACGAGGTTAAATCTGAGGACTTGATGCAGAATCATTGGGATTATAGTTGCTTTAAAGCTAGAACTTATAATAAAAATACACAACTTATTCAAAATGCTTATCAGAACTATAAAAAGTGACCTGAAACTTTGGCAAAACGAGTTTGGAAAGCAGTTAGAAATGATAATACTTCTAGGAAAAAGAAGTTTCTAAATATGCCTGATAGAGAAACTTGTTGCATTGTAAATTTGGATATTTGGTATACTATTAATGAATACTATAGACCTTATCATATTCTGCTAGATTAATTTTATGATTATATAAGTTATTCGAAGCATAAGAAATGCCAATTGTCTGATAGATTAGCTGTAGTAAGAAATCAAATACAATGCAACTATACTGCACCTAGAAAGTATACTAAACCCAAAAATATAACGTCAATCAAACTTGTGGAAATCAAAGACTTTACGTCTAGTTTAATTAGTAAATTTTGGAATGTGTCACACTCATTGACTCCTCCATTACCATTGAAACCATTTGTATTAATGCAATCTAATGCAAGTGCGCCTGAGATTTCAGCTCATAGATTTGAAAGAAGTCAGGTCTTAATTAATACTAGAAAATATTTTGATTCTGTGCGAAAAAATGAAAGAAAGGAGATAGATTTAATATCCTTCAACTAAATATTAATATAACTATATTTACAGTAGCGGTCATAAGTATCCGACCGCCCGAGATCGTCCAAAATTATTATATAACTACCCCTTAAATTTTC